TAACATGATCTGATTGGAGTTAGGAGATAGAATGTGACCATGGGAAGCTTTGTACCACTATAGACTAGAAGAGGGTTCTGGAGAGCAGAGATTGGAGAAGCTTGGGTGGAAAGGGGCCTGCACACCACTTCAGATACTTTGTTGTTTTAAAAGCCCAGGGGCATGCCCCTGGCACATTAAACCTTGAAAAACTTTCATTTCCTAAGGCCATTGCCCTACTCAGGAACCTTTAATGATTCCTAGTGCCAGATCTCTTCAGTCTGTATTCCGCCCAGGGACAGATGAAACCCTTCAGAGTCTGTTACTTCTTTGACCCTCTCAGAAAGGTCCTCCAGAGCTCCATACTGCACCTCCTTGGGACTATCTTTACTTTAAATGTGTGCGCTTGTTTATAGTGTTTTTACTTCTCCTTTCTTCTTGACATTCAGCTTGCCTTTATAAACCTAAACATCATTTCCTCCTGCAGAAATCATGTGACTCTTGAAGCTGAATCACAGTGTAAAGGATTGTGGTATTCTGTGTGTGTTTTTTTTTTTGTTTTTTTTTCTCATTTCCTGCTCTTTCCTCCTCTAGCTATTTACCATGTTTCCCTGAAAATAAGACATCCTCCAAAAATAAGACCTACTTACAGGTTTCCTTCTGAGTGAAATATAAGGCGTCCCCCCGAAAATAAGATCCCCCTAGGCTAAACATGAGAGATTTGGTCCACTGATTCTGAAAGAAATGGAGTCACAAGAAATTCACCAGGAAATTCAGGAATTGGATTGTTATGATGATGTTCCAGAAGATGATGACATGTTTGTCATTGAATAAATGAGTAAATTCTTGATACTGTAGGATTCACAGTTTGTCTGGTTTGTGTTGACAGCTACCGTACTACCGTACCATATACAGGTAATACATTTCCTTTACTTTCATTTAACAATAAATGTGTACCGTATTCTTCTTCATGGAAAAATAAGACATCCCCTGAAAATAAGACATACTGCATCTTTGGGAGCAAAAATTAATATAAGACACTGTCTTATTTTCGGGGAAACAGGGTAATAAACTTGAACTGAGTAGGAACAACCATTTTTGTTTCCCTCCTTTTTTCATTTCCCCCTCCTTCCCTTTCCCCTTTCTCTTTCCTTCTCTTCCCTTCCCCACTCCCCTTTTTGTCCTGTATATATTTTTTTCTTATCTGTTTATTCATCTGTTTTTCTCTTCATCTGTCTTCTTTTATTCTCCCTTCCAGCTGCTTATCACTTTGAACTAATTTTGTGGTAAATTCTTTCTTTGTTTAAAATATCTTTATTTTATTGATACTTTCTCTTGAATGAGAATTTAGCTGGGTATGGAATTCTTGGTTAACAGTTATTTTCTCTTAGCACTTTGAAGATATTTTATTTTCTTCTCTGTCTGCCTTTTGGTACTGTAGAAGCTTTCCATTTAATTTTATTCCTCTGTAAGTAAAGTGACTTATTTTGCTTGCTTTTTAAACAGTTTAAAGTGAGATTTTATATATATATATACACACACACCCATGTTCTATAAAGACTGACTGAAGGCTCAGTTGAACACTGGAAGTTAGTCCTGCAGTCAGTGTTGCTGCGGGCGCGGGCGCGGGCGCAGCGACCCAGCACTGACTGCCGAAGGGGCTGCTGATCAGGCCTGGAGAAAGGCCTGAAGAGAGAGGCAGGGTCTGATCTGCAACCTCCATGGCAGCTGTTGATCAGCTGTTGCATCTCTCTTTCTCTCCGGGCTTCTTCAGCACCTCTGTTTCTCTCTGGGCCTCCACAGGGGCTGCTGATTAGTTCCACCTCTCTGATCATGCCCGGAGATGCTGACTGGCATAGAAACCAACCAATCAGAACCAAATCTGGGAGAACTGTGAGGAGCCAATAGCTGCCCAGGAGATGGAGCATTTGACCCTGACTGGCATATAAACCGACCAATCAGAACCAAGTTGGCCAGCAGTAGAGGGCAATTGGGGGCGAGATCAGGCCTGCAGAGGAAGGCAGTTAGGGCGATCAGGCAGGCAGGTAGGCAGAGAGGTTAGGAGCCAGATTGCGAAAGGGATGTCCCACAAGGATCAGGCCTAAACTGGCAGTTGGGCATCCCCCAAGGGGTCCTGGATTGGAGAGGGTGCAGACTGGGCTGAGGGAACCTCCCCCTCTGTGCACTCATTTCGTGCACCGGGCCCCACTAGTGTGTGTGTGTGTGTGTGTGTGTGTATTATATATATATGACTTTTAAGATTTTATTATCCTGCTCAAGGCTTGTGATTCCTAAATAGGAAGGTATATGTCTTTCTCATGTTCTGTAAACTTCTCAGCCTTTATTTCTTTAAAGAATTTCTTTCAGTATCTCTCTTTCTCTGGAACTGCTCTCTAAGTTACATCTTATTATTTTTATTTGTTTATTTATTTAGTTTCATAGTTTTCCATTTCATTAACTCTTTGTGCAGAATTTTTGCATAATTTTTTATACTAGAGACCTGGTGCACAATATTCATGCACTAGTTGGGGGAGTCCCTCAGCCCCACCTGCACCCTCTTGCAGTCTGGGACCCCTCAGGGGATGTCCGGCTGGGTAGCATTCCCCCTGTGGAAGTGTACTGATCAGCAAGGGGCAGCTCCTGCATTAAGCATCTGCCCTCTGGTGGCCAGTGCTCATCATAGCAATTAGTTATTCCGCTGTTCAGTCAATTTGCATATTAGGGTTTTATTATATAAGATTCTTCTTCACAAATTCTCTTTAATTCTTTAATCTGATAATTCTCCAATGACTTTTTTTTTTCTTTTTAAAAAATACTTGGTTTTCTTACAAATGTTTGTCTTTTTCAGTTTCTCCTTTAAGGCTGCAGGTTTTAATCTTCCTCTTTGATAGCCTTGTATCTAATAATTTCACATCTAAAGCTCTCAAGTGATAACCTAATAATAGTTGTGTTTTCTGCTTTTACTTGTATTGGGGTTGTTTGTTTGTAGATCTGGTAAATTTTTATTCCTACCTCGCCACTGGGGCTTTATCTATGAAAATCCCACATTGCCTGGTTTAAAAGAATGTCCCCCCCTCCTATATTGGTGTACATCAGGACCCCTTTCTTTTCCCTTTGTAATGACTTAAACTTTTTAAGGGGAGGCAAATAAGAAAGATAATCTTGCTTAGTACTAGACCAGAAATGGTTTTAAGAGGCATCCACATTTTTTAATTAAACTTTAGTCAGAATAGCTCAATATCAATTATGTTGAAAACACAAATAAAGTACTAGGAAATTTTGAACTAATCTACCATTTTTGTAAATCAACAGTATTAAGGAGGCCATTCAAGTTTAGCTGTCACATGTGCTGAAGTGAGCGAGTCTTTATGCTCTGATATATATAGACCATTTAAATCTTTGGGCCTTCTATGACTGTCATATAAAATATGTCTTTAATGTTAAATTAATAATAAATTTTAAAGTAAAGCAAGCTTTGAAATAACTTTTATGTAGCTATTGAGTTACAAATACAGTGTTTTAATCTTACCTATGCCATTTTCCCCCCACAAAACTTATAAAAATATAACAAGAAGTTTTAGTTTCTGCTGGACCTGTCACTCCTGTTTTCATGTTTCTTTATAATTGTCCACTTGAATTTTTTTTTTTAATCCTCATCCAGGAAAGTTTTAAAGCATATAATAAAAAAAGTAAACTGTCTTTCAGAAATTACAATGTTTTTATGGTATCATATGAGGCTTTGTTGTCCTTAAACAGTATTAAATATTGTTGGCATGTAGTGCATTTATAAATAGTTATGAATAGGATATTCTTTGAGGTATGCTTTGCTGTATACTATTTTTTTTTTTTACTAAAAGCGTAATTTATTTTAATATGACTTTAATTCTTGAGGAATAATTTGAATGACATTTTATTTAAAAGCAGGTCAAGAAAACTTGAATCTTGATATAGATTATCAATCTCTCTGGCCTTACTGTTATAGTTCACCAATGTATTAATGTTAATTCTTGGTCTGTATTACCTATTTTTCAGTAAATAGTGGCAATAAAATGTATATATTTGATATAAAGTGGGTTAAGAATACATTCCCTAATTAATTAAAATATTTTTCTTAACACTAGGGGGCACTGTTGATATATTAATTCATACCTAAATTAATCTTTATTCATAGAATGTAGAATAAAGTGAAATTATTTGAAAACATTTCATTACAGATTGAGTTTTGCCTTCAGAGAGAATTTGGATTTTTAAGAATAGTGAAGCTTGTAAAATGAAATACTGTGGATTGAAGAAAGTTAAAGTATTTCTGTGAGCTATTCATTTTTACATTGATTTTCTAAATGAATTCTAAATGGTTTTAGACCATTATTTTTTTAAAATATGTATTTTATTGATTTCAGAGAGGGAGATGTAGGTAGAAACATCAATAATAAGAAAGAGTTATTGATCAGCTGCCTTCTGCGTGTCCCATGCTGGAGATCAAGGCTACATACCCAGGCCTGTGCCCTGACCAGGAATCAGACCATGGCCTCCTAGTACATAGGTTGATGCTCTACCACTGAGCTATGCTGGCTGGGCTAAAAGCCATTATTTCTAATACACTTTCATTTAAAAAATTCTAGCACAATGTTTTGCTCTTAGCTGGTTCTGAGACTATATCTAAAGAAATGAAGATAAACTTAAGATGTGACTAAGGGCACTACCATTACTAATAATTTTTAAGCATTCAGGTGTCTGCAGTTAGGATTTTGGTGATGCCCACCAACAGATATTTTGCTGGAGGTATATTTCTAAGGTTTTTGTCTTCTTTAATTAGAAGGCTCCACTAAATGTGAGCATTATGTAGCTTAAGGAGGTAGTAGACAAAATATGCATCAAACTGGCTTTCGTGATTTAACTGAAATAAGAAAGAGTTCGGTAAAGTTGAAAAAATGTGTTTCTTGACATGGTGATACACCTGGATTTGGTTTCTTAAACTTCCAATAATTAAACACACATTTAAAATTGTTTCTTTTTTACAGGAATAATAATGTATTTGTGGCCTTCGACGTGAAGCAGTCAGTCAGTCTTCTGTGCTGTTGACATAGCAGCAGGACTGATGTTGTGGGAAGCATGGACCTACTGAACGGGCAGGCAAGCAGTGTTAATGTTGCTGCTACCGCTTCGGAGGTAAGACATTGAAGAAGGTGCCTTTCAAAGGTTCTTACCGGGCATTCTAACTTTTCAAGCATTATCGTTGCTCACAGATTTAAATCAGAACTTGAAAAAAGGCTAAAATTTTTGTAGTTTAAAAACCAAGCGTTTTAATTGTGCCATGTAGATGATCACTGTGCATCTTAGAAACAGCTAATCCTTATCTACTTAAAATGCTTTACAGATAATGATTACTTAAAATCGTTTCTTGGGTTTAGTTCTAAAGGACACCTAGAATTTCTTTTATGGGTATTTTTCATGATATGAACCTTGAGGGCAATAGTAAAGAGAAACAGAAAGATTCTTTTACTTGGAATTGTATGTATAATTTTGGTCACTGTCTAGAACCCGTGATTCCAAGCCGATTGAAAGAGATTGAAGAGCCACGAGGCTGGATTAGGAAGAGCTACTCTGGTGATGTATTGTAGCTTAGAGTGTTAAGGATGGAGATGAAGGTGGAACTGGTGCTCACCTCTCTAGTTAATATCTCATTAATTTATTTTTGCCTCACCTTTTCTCTCTTTTGTTCTGTCTATAAATCTAGGGTACTTGCCTGCTTTCCTTAATTTAGCATCCAGCTTCTCTGCTCTTCCTTTATTTTACTCTTATTGTATAGCTTGAGAATAATGGCCCTTTAACACCTTGACCTCAAATTTCTTTAATAACTTCAACTTCATTTTGCCCCAAACAATTATTTGGGCCTTGCTATTTTTGAAATTATTCTAAGCCTATAGTTTTTATTATTTGTCTTATAAAAATAATTTCCAGATTTTAATCTCTAGCTCTGGCTTCCCTCATAAATTTTATTAAGCATTTCTGAAGGACCAGACATTTTAATTACAAATGAACAGAATCAAATTACTGCTGTACAACCTGTAAAGAAAATAGTCCATCCCCTCTCTCTGACTTCTGTTAATAGCATTTCCATCTCTTTAGCCATCTAAGTTTAAAATTTAAAAAAAATATATTTTGTTGTGTGTTTTTTTTTTACAGAGAGAAAGGGAGAGGGATAGAAAGTTAGAAACATCAATGAGAGAGAAACATTGATCAGCTGCCTCCTGCATACTCTCCACTAGGTATGTGCCCACAACCAAGGTGCATGCCCTTCACTGGAATTAAACCTGGGACCCTTGAGTCTGCAGGCTGATGATCCATCCACTGAGCCAAACCGGTCAGGGCTTCTAAGTTTAAATTTTTAGATTTCTCATTCAGTTACTTCCCCTTTGCCCATCACAATTAACTGCAAAACTGAAATTAACTGTGTTCTGTAATGTAGTCCTAGAACTGCCATCCTGTCATCTCTGCTTATTCTATTGGTTAGAAACACGTCATAGGTCTTGCTCCCACTCAAGTCGAAAAGATTACACAAGGGTGTGACTACAGAGAGAGAGATCGATCCTTGGAAGCTGCCTTAGATAGAGCCTGTCCCCCACAGTTCATCTCTTGGGTCCTGTGCTTTCCTCCTTATTTCTGCTAGCTCTGTCTTCATTTGATCATTTATTATTTCTTGTCTGAATTATTACAACAGCTTTTTAGTTTGATCTTATACTTCTACTAAGCTGGGTTGGGTCCATTTGACTGCAGTTCAATTTTAGTATTCTTCAAATACAGCTGTTAAAACTTTATTGTACCCCCAAACTATTTGTGGTTCCTCATTGCCTAATTAAATACAAATGACCCTCAACCTTGCATTCAAGACTTTTCTCAAAATGGCCCTAAATTTGTTCTCTAATGGATTTAACTGCTGCTAATCCTCTATAAAATGAAATTTATAGTCTCATGAAAGAATATATATAAACCTTAGCTTTTCCTTCTTCTGTTATACCTGCCTATGTCATTTTTTTACCTGGAATTTCTTTTCTCATTTTGATGTGTCCCTCCTTCTCACTGCACAAAAAATACATGTTGTCTGTCTTTCAAAACCTGTTTCAAATGCTATATTCTTAGGAAAGTCTTTTCCTGATCCCTTGAACATATGGGAGCTTTTCTATTTTTGAAACTATAACTTAATAAAATATACTTTTTAATAATTTTTTCACAAATTTATAGATAGCTTTTCTTCCTCAGGGATTATATTACATGTTTATGTGTGTTTGTATTATATGTATGTTTACTTGATATATTTATAACCATATTACTTTCATATGTTAACTATGTGTGTATGTGGATAGCATATTAATAACTATATGTTCTGAAACATTTGTCTAGTATTACATGAAGCAGTACACAATTATTAGTTAAATAAAATGGATCATTTCACTTCTATACAAAATTTTGTTGACTTTCCTAAAAGTGAATGAATAACATTAGGCTTCAGATATACAAATAGTTTTCATCTTCTCTTAAAGTCTAGATCTATTAATATATTAAAACGAAGATTTCTCATAAATGTGATAAGCTTACAGAATGAACAAGATTCTTTCTCTGGGTGATTGACTTCTTCTTTCTCAGTATCTCTACTCTCTTTTTAAAAATTTATCTTTATTGTTGAAAGTATTACATACCTTTATTCTTAACCTGAGCTCTCAAAGCTTCCAATATCAGTAGAGTTACAGTAAACTTTGCTTCAGACTTTTAGAAATGTGTACTTTGTTTAGCATTGTGTTGAATAGAGAGTTACTAACTGTTCTATTAGGGTACATTATGCTTAAGTACTGCTTAGCTTCTTATCACTGTTGTGTTTACTGGTATTGGGAAAGCAGATAGAAGCACATCCCTTGTAATTGTAAGGACAAAAGGGAAGTGATTACTCATGGAAGACTACCATTGTAATTTGCTGGCTTGTCTTAAAGCGGTTAAAAACTTGGAAAAAATTACAACTATATTTAATTACCAGATTACTACCTGACTGGGCGGTTACTGGATTAGTGGATACTGCTAAATTGAATTCTGTTTGAATACTTAACATTATGAATAAATTTCTATATTAGTCTTAGGACATAAAATAATGTTGTTGACATACTGTAAGCTTGTCATAGTTACAGAGATTATAAACACATCAAATAAAACTATAGGAAAGCCATTTATGGAATGAAAAAGTAGACCTCTATCCAACCACTGTGGTACAGTGACAGAGTTGTAGCATAGCGGGACTGCCAGAGGGGAAAGGGGAGCAGAAGAAATATTTGAAGTAATTATGGTTGAGAGCTTTTCAGAATTAATGATTTTAGTAATTAGCTGCTCCTGAAAGAGAGGGGAAAGGTAAAAATGAGGCATTAAGGACAAGTGCTCAAAATTGGTGTCTATCAGCTGGTAGGCTGACATATTATACCTTGGTAATTGAAACTTTGGTGAAATTTTTTTGCCATGAACTGTGCCTGATTTCTTGCTACCTTTTAGTAGAGCATAATGTAAATATTGTTACAGTGATGAAGCTCTGATTTCAGCCAAAAGATGCAGAGTACATTTTTATCATGTGGTCAAAGGAGATGGAAACTGACCAGAAATAAGATATTCAGAGCCAAAAGCCACCTTTGGTCTAATGTAATAATAGCAAATTCAAACATAAAATATTGTAGTAACCTTACAGTAGAAAATTTGTAATATAATAGGAAGAATAGTATCATTTGCAGTATCACAGACATTCACGTCACAAATAGTACTGGATTATTTAATTAATAGAATTTTGAATATTTTTTTTGTGGTTTATGTTATGAAAATAACCTTTCCTTTTCTTAGTAAAAATTAGTCTAAAAATTAGTAGTATAAATAGGTATATCCTTATCTTTAAACTTCCCTTTTAACCCATTTGAAAATCATTGAACTTATTAAAATATTGTATTTCTATAGAAATAATAGGGTTGTCAGGGCGAGGAAACTGACAGACAACAAAATGTCTTACTCAGGAACCTAAATACCCGAAGTTGAGATTATGCCTCAAGTTGCCTGACCTTTTATCTTGTGCTTTTCCAGATAAGGAACACATTCTGCCCAACTTTCCTGCAGCATCTGTTAACCCACTCTGCTCGGTTTCCTCGGTTTTTAATGCCAATCTCACTTCTGTGACGTTGACTAGGAGATAGTATTAAAATGGCTCATTTTCTTTTACTTTAACAGAAAAGCAGCAGTTCGGAATCATTAAGTGACAAGGGTTCTGAATTGAAGAAAAGCTTTGATGCCGTGGTATTTGATATTCTTAAGGTTACACCAGAAGAATATGCGGTAAGCCTTCCCCCTCCTTTCTCCAGTTTTTGCACATAATTTTAGGATCAGCAGAGGACCTGGTGAAAATAAATAAACAAAGCTGGGGGTGGAAATTAAAAGGGAGAGTAACCCAAGGATGGAGCACGCAGAGGGATGAAATGGGAAAGGGAAGATCTGTAGATATTTTTAGAGCAGCTTTATAAACTTCTATTTCAGCTTGGTAAGTAATAGTAAGTATTTACCTTCATGGTAATTGCTTTCATAGTCCCTGCTTGTACCACCTCCCCAAGCCAACTGGACTTTATTGACATGTTAGGGGTATTTTTACTTTTTGTAAATTAAAAATTGAGAATTGAAAGGTGAAGGCATTATTACAATAACATGAAAGTTACCCAGAAAAACTTTTATTTCTTAAATGACATAAATGTTTATTTATATTCTTTTTCTCCTTTAACTTATTAACAGAATATATTGATTTCCTGATACTGAACACAGCTCCATGAACCAGTAGATCTGATTTTTGGTTTTGATTTCATGTATAACTGTGTTCAAATTTTCAAAATTATTTTTATTTTTTAACTTTACCTCATTTATCTCATAAGAAAATAGGAGTAGGTATAAAATAATGTGAAATACTTATATTTATTTAATGCCACTAGGACTCAATTTTCATTTTTTTTAGTCTTTATAAATTGACATTTTTCTGGTAAAGACTTAGTTATTCAATATATATATTTTAGTACAGAATATCACTTTAATATGTCATTATACAATATATATGTCATTAACATGGAATTCCAAAGAAGAAATTGTCTTTTGTTTTTGTTTTTACTTTTTATTTCAGGGTCAAATAACGTTAATGGATGTCCCAGTATTTAAAGCCATTCAACCAGATGTGAGTACTTCTAAAGAACTTTTCTTTTGAATATACAAAATAGGCAATTATAGTATCCCAAATTAAGAAGTTTTAGAATTGTCAAATTATTCTTCCTAAATTATAAACGTTTAAAGCTCTTGATATAACTTGTCTGTATATTATTTAGGCCTCAGAAACTCAAGTGGTGTTCATAGCTATATATCACTCAGTCATATGTAGGACTATAGGAGTCATTTTTTCAATTTGGCTTCATAACTTTAGTGAAGGGAGAAATAGACTTCAAGAGGTTGAATGATTTACCCAATGCTTTGAAGCTTTTTAATGGGAGAATGAGAATAAGACATTGTTTCACAGCTTACTCCAGTTGTCTTTTCCCTAATACCTTTATTTTATGACTTTATATTATGACATTATGTTGACATTTTGGTGAGAAGAGAGAGAATCAATAAAAGGCATTTTTGTTTTAAAGAGGGAGACTAACATTTATTATGCATCTACCCACTGTAAGCCACTTACGATGCTTATATATGGAAACTATTACTGGAGTGAGTTGTGAAACCCAGGGCAATGGCAGGTGAGCTACAGTGAGTTTATAGTGGACAGATAGCAGAAGGTGAGCAGTCGAGGGAGGGCTAGATGGTATGCCACCTCGAAAACCATTACCCATAATCACCAAGATTACATAGCATCTGGCAGCATAAACTGGACTTGGTCATCGGGCAGAAAAAATGTTTTCTAGTTTATCATGAAATATTTAACATAAGACATAAAGAAGAAGAAGAACTCCTGTGTACCTACCCAACTCGTACTGTTGAAGCTGCTCTGCGTTCTCCTACATTCACCTCCTCTCTTCCCTCCTCCCACCAAGGCTGCCACTCTCCATTGCGGATCTGTGTCATTCCTGTGCACTTAGTATATTTTTTCTGCAAGCACATATGTCCCTTAGCAATATGTGCTATTGCGGTTTTATGTTCTGTATGTAAATGGAATCCTGTTTTTGGTCTTCATTAGCATGCTGCTTATGTTCGGTATTGCGGAGGAGACCCATGTTGATATCTGTACTCCCAGTACATTAGTTACTGAGTTGTAGAGCATAAGCATCTTCAAATTGTTTTCCAAATTGTTTGTCCAGATACTGGTTATTTTATCAAGACTATTGCTATGGAATAATTGGACAAGACATTGTTTAAGCTATGATGTCAGCCAGTCTAATGAGTTCTTCTTACTTTATAGCATGTACTTAGAGTATTAGCTTCATTAAAGTATGAAGGAATTCTTTTAAAAATGAAGGAATTATTTTTGTTAAAATTTAACAAAATACTATGAAAAGATAGTAGTTATCGCTGAATCTAGTAAGTTTATCTTTGTTTTTGTCCAATATACCAATGTTCAAGTTTCGGTACATGCAAAAAACTTTAAAAGCTGTGTTTTTGTGTTTTGTGTGTGTGTGTGTGTGTGTGTACTTTATTAAACTGTAAAATCTTTAGTTACACCAGAACTATTTAAACTAAAGCTCATTATTATGTTTTTATATTCATATGTACCTTTATTGCAGGTGATAATTTATTCACATTTTTCTGAAATTAAGTGTACTAAATTTGAATTTTGAAGATGAGAGTCTGAATCCTGTGTGGCTTAGTAATTTTACTGGCAGGCTGGTGATTGAACCACACAGGTCTCAGTTATCTATACTAGAGACCATTTCTGCTTATTAAAATAGATACCTCCTATTGCTAATTCAGTGCCCTACGTAGGACCCTGTAATTCCCATCAGTTTGTGGAATTCCTGTCTGTATTCCCGAGGCTTTCATGTCAAGCAGGATTTTGCTAAACTTGTTGTTGACCTGTAGGAAGTAAGGAACAACTACAAGAAGTGCAATCGCTTTCTGGTGAAGCTGCTTATTGATCACCTTTGATGGGCCTTAGACTTCAGAATTGCTCTCGGGGGAGAAAAGTTTCAAACCTTTTATTTCACTATAGGAACTAACTGCCTTATCTTCGAAGTGTGAAAAGTAATTTTTTATTACATGGAGTCTGTCTTTACTCATAGAAAATATACAGAATCAAAATCATGTCTTTAAGAGCAGATCTGAATCAAACATAATGTTAATCTGGTTTCTCGCCAGCTCTATCACTCTTGAAATTAACACAGATTGAAAGAAGACAAAAGAACAGATTTTTGTTGTTGTTGATCCTCACCTGAAGATATTTTTTTCCATTGATTTTTTTTTCTTCTTTTTGAGAGAGAGTGGAAGTGAGAGAGACAGAGGGAAAGAAACATCGGATTCGAGAGAGACACATGGATTGGTTGCCTCCCATGTGCGCCTTGCAACTGAAGTACATTCCCTTGACTAGAATCAAATCTATGACCTTTCATTCTGAGGACAGACACTCTTAACTGCTGAAAATGGCTAAGGCAAAGGAACAGATTTTGATACTTGGCTTCTTTTTTTTCTTTTTTTTTAAATATATTTTATTGATTTTTCACAGAGAGGAATTGAGAGGGACAGAGAGTTAGAAACATCGATGAGAGAGAATCATCGACCAGCTGCCTCTTGCACACTCCCTACTGGAGATGTGCCCGCAACCAAGGTACATGCCCTTGACCGGAATCGGACCCGGGACCTTTCAGTCCACAGGCCAATGCTCTATCCACTGAGCCAAACCGGTGCCGGTGATACTTGGCTTCTTGTGTTTTTTTTTGTTTGTTTGTTTCATGGTAGGGAAAAAATATGTTTACCAATAAAAGAATTTAATATTAAAGGAAAGTTCACCGGTAATTTCAAAAATATTATATAAATAGGAATATAATTACAAAGTGTTTGCTTTGGTATTATTTATTAAGGTTCCCTTTCTGAGAGATTTGTACCATCTCTCCATTTTTCATTCCAATCAAAAACCTCCAAGTCATTCTTCCTCCTCCCTTTATCCTCTTTTTCCTGTTCTCTAATACTGCCAATTGATTTTACCTCCTAAATAATTTTCCCCTTCTACTTCCCTATCAAGTCTGAAGGACATTTATTAAGAGTACAATGTTTTTGCAAGGCTGCAACTCAGTGTCTCTAGAAATATGAGCATCCCTCGGTGTCTGCATGCTGTTAGGCCTGGGACAGCTCAGTGGATCCCTCTCCATCTGAACACTTGGCCCTGTTGATCCCATAGCTCATGCTACAGAAATCCTAAGAATCTTCACTCGCCCACTAGCCCCAGCAGCATGGCCAACTTCGGAAGCTTCTACGGATAGTCATCCCCCTTACACAGAACCTTTCCAGTTTCTGTTCTCCTCCCTGTAAGTAGCCATCTCTCAGGGATGGGGAGGACACTCAGTAATATTCTGTGGAAACAGGAGGGGTTTTTCTTCTGCCCACAATTCAGAACATTTCCAGATTCTTCCCTAGTCTAAGGTATTCAAGACTTCGTAAGGCAAAAGTTTAGCTTAATGGTTCTGGACATTGGTTAATTTGTAGTATAAATTCTGGGGTATTTAGTCGAAGCTCGGCTGTTGTTCCACTTTCCCCACATTGCTTATAGGTGTAGATTTTCCCAGAGTGGTTTCTGTTTTGATCCTGCAGGCTTGTTTTCTTGCAGAAAGCTCTTACACCTTTAGAGGGCTTTCCTCCTGAGGAAGCAGTGACTGTATCCTGAAGGTTTTCCCATGTTTATTGCATTCATAGGGTTGTTTTGTTTTTTTTTGTTTTGTTTTGTTTTGTTTGTTTTTTTGTCAGTTATGACCTCTGCTGCTCTATAAAGCTTGTGTTTCTTCCAAAGGCATTGCCATGTGTACTGCGACAGGATGTGCATTATGTCATTCATCACAGGATGAGTGATGACAGGAACCTGCTTGCAGTTAGGTTTCCTCTTCAGGAGCATTTCTGTGGTGCTTTTATAAGTCTTAAGAAAGGAAGGAACAGTGTGTTCGTCATTACATTAGATAATGTCTGCCTCTCTGAGGTTCTCAAGTGTTCCTAAAGTGTCAGGCTCTGGTTGAAAGTCCTCTGACTTATATTCCATTAAAAGGAAAAGCTCACATTTTTTATTTGTTCTGGAGGTCCATAAAATAAGGCATATAGATTCTCAGCAAACAGACATTAAATACAAAGGATTGATAAGCCCCTCCTGTAAAACTGGGGTGCACTAGAGATTGAGGAAGAATGCTGGTTAAAATGAGGGTAAGTACATAATAGGAAATTCTGATTCATTTTTTAAAAACTTTCAATTGGGTTATTCCTGACAGTATGTAGAAAGAGCTTTCCCTCTGCAGAGTTTCTAGTGTATGCAAAGAGACTGTCATCATGGTAACATCCAAGGTTCCGGCATCAGGAATATCTTGTTCAGTGAAGATTATCACTTACATAGAATTAAAATATAAACAGTTCATGAATGCAGTGAGAAATTTGAAGAAAGCAAAAGACATGTTGACTTGAAGGTTTTCCTGTGGACTGGAGTAGACTGATTGTTCTGTCAGAGGCAGGGGCAGTTGTTTTATCTTTTCACACCATTGCTGTTTATCACCATGAACTTCCTTTAACTCTGGATCTCATGATGGAGGCAGCTTTAACCAGTTAACTGCCATGATATATTTAATTAAAAAAGGTCTGCTGCTTGCATCTATAGACACTTATGACATACAAATGGTTAAGATAATGGGAGGAGGGGAAAAGAGAGAATGGGTATATTAGAAAAAGTTATTTTTTTAAATTGATGAGAGAGAGAGAGAGAGAGAGAGAGAGAGAGAGAGAGAGAGAGAGAGAGAAACATTGATGTGAGAGATCAATCATCTGCTTCCCCATATGCATCCCAGCCATGGATCAAACCTGCTACCTGGGTATGTGCCCTGACTGAGAATTGAACCCACCACCTTTTGGTGTATGGGACAACACTCCAACCAAGTCACACTGATTTTAGAGAGGAAGGGAGAAGGAGAGAGATAGAAACATCAGTGATGAGAGAGAATTATTGATTGGCTGATTCCTGCACACCCCACACTGGGGATTGAGCCCGCAACCCAGGCAATGTGC